CCCCAAAACCCCAAAACCCCATATGATTTGAATTGATATGAATTATTGCAAATTTATTATGAAATCAATAAATTATAAACTTATTAAACAAAATCAAACTTGAGCTAGAATAAAATCATATAGCCTGCATAAAATCCTTAATCAATCAGTTAAATCTATAAACATTGGATCTTGCTAATCTTTTGACTAATTAAGTTAGGTTTCACCTACGACGATATTTTGTTTAGGCATATTAGTCTAGCTACCATAGACCAAAGGATTGTGAATTGGCCTTTCTCTTCTTTCAACCAATTAATTAGTCTCAGGAATGTACTTCCTTAGGACTGGCTTTTCTCCCACTCCCCTTTTTAATCTATCGTCATAAACAGTTTAGCTTATCTCTTCTACAAGTTCTATATCATAGTTATTTAATGAGTATATTTGCTTACCTAACCATTTTTTATTAGGGGAAAATATCTAACGAAGAATAGTGAGGGCAGTTCTATTCTTGCAAGTTTCCTTGTTAGGGCCAGTTTCTGTTGCACTAAAGCTTATCTTCATGGTTGCTTTATCCTAGAGAGTAATCAGAAATTTGATCTAGCAGTCGGGATTGCTTGACTTATTGTTCTGCTTGTGCTTATCCATTTAATAACCATTCTTTTTGGAAAATATTTCTAGAAGCTATGATATGAATTTAGTGTTAAGCATTCCTTACAGTAAATGGAGAGTACTTCTTAAACAAGTAATCATACTTTAGAATGTCCTTATCTCCCAGTATGATGTCTAATCTCTGATGATTCAAATTTTAAATCTACAGTTCATCATATATATTTATCTCATCATCCTCATCTTCACACTCTACTTGTTAAAACTAAGATAGGTTTGATCTTCGTGCATTAGTTTAAGTTATCATATCATTTTAACTATAGGAGTAGCTTTGCCTCAACGAATTAGGCTAAGACTAAATCATTTTGTGAGTAGATGATTTTTTAAGGATAGTCTCTTTGTTTTAACCTGAAATATTTTCCAACATACTCTCTTTCTGTTGGATATTACTGTGCTTTGACATCGATTATTTTCTTGTCAGTATCTTTGTAGGCTGCGAGAGAGTATCAGAGTTCTGTGAAGCATTTAACTTACCTGCTTTTTCTGAAAATTTCTATTCTTCATTGATCTTTTGAAGTTGTTTTGGCTAGGTTGCTACTTAAAGTGGTTCTCCAGGAAACACCTCTTTGAATATCTTAGGAGCTACTATCCTCAGAGCATTTTTAGCTGCTTGCTTTTTAGATTCAGTTTTGTTGTGACCATTGCCAGTTGAAATAAAGGTATTCTAAAACTCAACGATGCACTTATACCTATCTCTTCCCTCATTAATACCTCTATAAAAATTAAAATAATAGCTATATTTCTTACTCAAACCTAAACTGAGGAGCTAGCTAGAAACATTAGTTGCCTATTGAAACAAGTAGACTGATTTACTCAGAATTCTTATTTTATCCCTTGATCTCATAAAGTTTTTTGTGAGTGATATATTACTTCTTAGCTTGTTACTAGCTAGTAGTCTGAGTCACATCCTTAGTAGTTGTATCTGAGTCTCTATTAGCCATAGTAATATTTTCTGGTTTGCTAATGGTGGATTTTTACGAAAACATCTCTATCAATTATTTGAATTGGTTTGACAATATTTTTGGCATTTCTGGTAGCTGCCCGTTATTTCTGGCTTTAATCTCATATTCCAATTCCAATATTTTTATATTTAGATCGCTCAAGCTAATCTTAGTCAATTATGGATTAGACTCACTTAATTTTTCCTGAAAATATTAATAAAATTTTTTTACAATATAGAGCAAGAAGTCAAAAGAATTCATTGGAGGAGCAATACTAAACACCTAATTGTGCCAGTTATAATAGACACTAAATCCCTTTTCTAAGAATATTAAATCTACAAGGATGATCTTAAGTTACATATTTCAAATCTTGTCCATCCAATTGGAAGCATTAAAACTCTCTCGTCTCTACTCTTATTATTGATTGAACTCATCTAATTACTAAAAATATAATAATATTTTATTGAGTTTACTGTTTATAAAATCCCCATTTAGTAAAGGGGTTTTGGGGTTTTGGGGTTTTGGGG